TGCGCATGCTGTCCTTCCTAATGCAACTCACACAGACTGTAGCTTATGTCTCCAACTGCAGTCCTTGCATGTGCTAGCTTTACCACTGTTTTTGCATACATACTAACATACATACTAATACATACGCGTCATTTCCACGGCCACGCAAATCAACAACAATGTCGTGTTTTTCGTGTTATTTACGGTGCAAAACGCTTACCTGTCCTGCTGCACGCACGTGATCAGGGCTTCGGAGGGTTATATTCCCATAATTCTAACAAGCTAACAAGCATTACTATTACCACCATCATCATCATCATAATCATAATTATCATCATCATCAGCAACAGGTGAACCACGCGGGTGGCTGTACAAGCACATGCCCATTTGCATGCACTCGCACACAAGGTAGATGAACGAGTCACGAGCTGTGGATGCACTGCCAGAACAGAATCGCAAAAAGTAAGCGCACATAGCAGTGAAACATGCTGTAGATATAGAGTGGTGTCGGATGTCTTCAGTATGTTTCAGCTTTGCTGCCTCAGCCGTGAAGCCGTGGTTTGTTTTGAATTTGGCAAAGGACAAGCCCAAAATGCCATGCAAAGTATGATGTGCTGTCAGGTTGGAGCTCCGTGCGTGGGCCCCTCCCGTTGAAGCCTTGGAACTTTGCCACGTGGCCGACAGTTGGGCTGTCCAGCTCGGTGTCGGAGCTCGGTAGCTGTCGGAGGCTTTAGGAGCCCCCTTCCTGCGCTTCGACTCCCCCGGAGGGGAGGGGAGAAGGGGTGTCTTTGAGGAAAGCTCGCCCAGGAGCCTTTAGGGGAAGGCACGAGGAGGTGAGGAGAGTGAGATGCTGAAGAAACTTGCCCCGTAAATGGCTGAGGGCCAGTCCAAAGCGTCGGCTTTCATCAGCCCTATGTAGTTGAGGCCTCATATCCCAGCCTAGGAGCGTTCTTCAGAAGCTCCTCTTTCTCCGTGATCGGCGGTCCATCCATGTAAAAACCACGATCTTATGCAGACTCCGCATGCGAGTTAGCAATCGTCTTCTTCGAAGTTGTGGCGCACTTCCGTGTTTCTTGGGTCTGTGTAGACGCGGAACGAGGCGCGGTCTTGGACGCCGGCAGTTCTCGGCCGCAACCTGGAGTTCCTCTGCTGCTCCCGGTGCCCGGGGTGGGCGAATTCAACGGAGATCTGCGCACGTCGGACATCGGACCATCGGAGAGGGAGAAACTCCGAGAGCCAGGGCGAAGCAGGGCGAAGGTTCCGAAGAGCTCAGAATGATCCTGTAAGCTTTACGGCCGCCTCCTCTCCGGCCCACGTCGGCCCTTTGCTTCTCTTCTGGACAGTGCAAGCTTAGTGTTTTCTCGGAGCCTTTGAGCCTTCAGGGGCCACGAAGGGCGGCGTGCTTCACAGCAACTCCCATGAGAAGGCTGCAGCCGAGTTCTATTTCGGTTCTAAAGGCTGTCGCTTCTCCTCTTGTCCGCACGGGCGCATAAATCTCGCAGCCTACCGTCCTCCTGCCAGCCACAGCCTAGTGTCCCGTGAGGACGTCGCACTGCTCCAAGCTTCCCAGCTTCCTCGGTGATGGCGACATTGCTCTGTGACAGCCGTAGGACTGCAGGACGGTAGGGGGTTCTTTTCTGCCTGGGCGGGTGCTTTGCCGGAGGAGTTCAGAGCTAGTTCTGGGAGCCACCGTCTGGGGACACATGGAATGATGTGAGCCGTCGTGCAAGACGCAGCAAGTACTGTCGCATGCTCACTTATTGCTAGGCCAAGAGGGGATGGTTTCAGACCTTTCGCTTCTTCGCCTCCCTGTGCATTCGAGCGGGAGCCCCGCCCGACACTGTCGAACCGAGATTCCGGTTCACTCCTCAGGAACCTCTTCTCTGGCCATGTTTTCACATGGCTTGGAGGGGTCCATTCCATGTCCATGCTTACTCTGAGCACAGGAAGTTTCAGATGCGCAGTCAGGCTGCTTTGACTGCTTTTTACACGGCATGCTGCATGTCTACACGCGTGGCGTGACCGGACGCCACAGCATGTTGAAGTCAGCGGACAAAAGCGATCTCGTCGGCCGCGGGCACATCTTATCTTGAGTTGCGACCTCGAGTGTGCCGCAGCACCAGCCCCTTGCGCCTTAACATCTCGGCGGCGATGAAGCTGCACGTTTGCTCTCTTCGCGGTGGCTGGCACTTGCAGCAGCCGGGATTCTCGGGTGAAATCATTGGCGAACTTCGCCAGTCTTCGGGCTTTTGCAGAGGCTCCGCACCAATCCAAGCTTCACATGTCAGAGTGATGTCGCCTCTGAAGCCTGCATTTGGATGAGGCGCCGAGTCCACCCAGTTGCCATTCACGCCCGTGACACCTCTGCAGGTTACTTGTACGTCTTTTTGACAAAGCGACAGCATTTCATCAAAGCAACTCTTCGTGGGGGCCAGCCGCACGCGTGATGTTTCCAGGCATAGCGGTGACCTTGTCTACTGCGGAGCCGAGGGATATCGCCAAGCCTGCATCTCGCCGGCTTCCTCGCAGGGTTCAGGAAGGTGTCGGTGTGGATCGTGCCATAGGGTTGGGGTCGGGATGCTTCTGGTGGCTGGACTGGACTCCCGAAATCTAGTGTTAGTTTCGGGGTCCCTGTGCTGGGCGGGATAGGCACATGTCAGGCCAAGGCCAGGTGCAAAGAAAGCGAGTCTCCAGCTTTGCGGGGATGCGGAAGTCTGTGTTTCACAGCTTTCGAGACTTCGCTCAGAGCTGAGATCTCCAATGTTCCGCAGCCGCTGTTGGCTACAGAGGCAAGCCGCCAGCAACGTGTTTAAGAAGTTTACGTGGATGAAAGCCGTGCGCCTGATCAGGAACTGTGCTTCGACACTCCAAGCGCAGCTGTGACCGCAAGGTGTTGGTGTGGGCTTCGTTCGCGTCCCCACTTTTGCAGGACCCCTTCAGCAGATGGTGCCGTGGCGGCAGGCCCCCAAGCCTCCCTGCCTCGACCAGTAGGGAAAAGGCTCGTGTGAGAGTTTGCCCTGCAGCGGCATTAGGGTCGCCTTTCGGCTTGGCACCAAAGCCGGGCCGTGAAGCAGCTTGAATTAAGGCCCGCACACTGCGCGAGACTTCACCGGCACGCCCGTGATGTTGTTTGATCACTGGTCTGTCCCGGCTTTCCGATTTTCTTAGGCCTTGTGTTGGGCCTGTGACTGCTGGGACTCATAGGTCTAGGCCGTCCAGCCCTGGCTTTGGGGAGTTGAGCTGTGATGTGGAGGCGTGCGGGCGACCCGAAGCCGCTTAGGCCCAGGCTGCCGTAGCGGCTCCTGCTGTCTCCACGTCCCTCGCAGGTTCCGCTGCGATCCGGACTATACTTTAGATTCCCGGCTCTAAGGTTAATAGGACTGTGAGCTCGCTCTCCGCATACCCCAAATCTTGAGCATTCAGAGACCGAGGCCTCTAGAAGTTTAGGCAAGGAGGCCGAGGGTTGTGCTCGCACCGACACCATGAAAGTTCAGGGATGGGCGGCCGTCACAGGAAGAGCATCCGAAAGGTTCTAAGGGTTTGGGGGTGTTTCGGGTTGGAGGAGCCTGGACCACCAAGTCCGAAGCTTCAGTGGCAACACCGTTTCGCGGAAACCCTATGTCAGGCCTCTCTGGTCTTTGCGGGACGCCCCTGCAGCGACCCTGTCGACATACTGCAAGATCGGCCGCTTGTGTCGAGGGCGATCGTATCAAAGACCATGGCCACAGCCATGGCCTTGGGAATGATACGGCAATGACTGTGTAAAGTGATCAATCTGGTGAGAGGCGCAGGTCTTGGACCTCGATTGCACAGTCTCCATCATAGCATGTGCAGGCTGCATAGTCACAAGCACCGGATGGCCTACAGCCGTAGGCAAGAGATTGGAACAGCTACAGGTTCTGCAAGCCAGTTTGAGGACACTAGCTTGCTCCGGACGGTCGCGTTGAAGGAGAAACCTTGAGTCTAGGTCTATAAACACCGTGCCTATCGTGGCAGCGTGAAGGTGTCGGTCTGCAGGCCTGAAGCAAAGGCTCGCGGCTTCCGCCAGGACAGCTAGCAGCAGCTAGCACACAAGGTGGCCAAGGCCTGTGGAGCAGCGCAGCCCGGAGCATGGCTACAAATCATGAAATCCTCCACTCGTTGATGCCGCGGCGAGTACGGACCAGTTTCCGTTGTTTTTCACAGAGGCTTGAGCACTTTTGAAGAACATCCTTGTGACTCTTCAGTTCGAACATGATTCGATATCCGCGATCCTGTCGGAGCGCAGATTCCGCAGGTTCAATCATGCTTCATGAATGTGTGTTAAACGGAAGGCTGGGGTCCTTAGACAGGTGCAGCGGCTGATTTGCCTCAATGCTGTCAGCGACGGATGCAACCGGCTGGTTTCGGGCTTTGCCACGAGTGCCACGAAACCGAGATGTGCCAGCAGTCACGGACATGGGCTCACGCCACATGGAGGCGAGGCCGAAGAACGAATCGTGCCTCTGTGGCATAACCATCCAGCATCTGTGGCTTGGGCGAGTAACTCAAGCCGCTTGCCAGGTCTTTGGATTGCACCTGCTGTTTACTCGGGACGTCCTTACTATTTCTGAGTCGAATTACTGATAGCTCAATCGCCGTTTCCTCAGTTTTAAGATGCTAACCCGCAGGCTTAATCAAGCTTGCAGAAGCGCCAGCCGGTACTGTCTCCTGACTTTCCTGCGTCATCAAGGTTCGCCTCCCAATTTCGGGGTACTTATTCGCGGCAGATGGGCTCAAAGTGGGCTCCGCGAGTGTCAATTAGGGAACCTTGCCCATCAACAGTTCCTTGCCGGGAGCGGCTGCTTCGGCAAGAGTGTGTCAGAACAGCTGATGCCTGCACTGCACACAGGAATCCTGGTCACCGGGTTCTTGTGGGATTTCCTCAGCCCGAGATGATGACAATGAGACTGGAGGCTGGGTTCCCTCGTTGATGATCAGGTGCAAGGCGTAAGTTCGGGTTCAACTATTTCAGCGAGCTCTCGACGCGCATGTCGCGATCTCTTGGCAAGTCCTATGCTACATATTACCACTGTGAGTTTCGTTTCAAGTCAACTCTCCGCTTAAGTGAAGCATCTGCCAGCGTCTCTGGTTTCCCGGATTGTCACATGGCTTGTGCGCACTATTCCACGCGATGGCTGAGGTTGCTAGAGCGTGAGCTCTGGCTATTTCCGATCAACTCTCAAACAACCGCGGCTGCAACGTGGAAGGAGAAAAGGTGCCTTGGTCAAGCATCCGCAACTTGCACATCCCACTTCCGGCACGAGCTCTTGCACTGTGCCGCTGTTTTCTCATGCAAATGCAGACACGACTATGTCCGAGCTCGCCGCTAGCAGCATCTTCTGGCTGACCGATAGTGAAATTTCGTTTAAAGATCAGCTGGTCCATCTGGGATGACGAGACGGCTAGTTATGGTGAACCAATCAGGCTCCGCCCCCGCGCTCAGACACGTTCCGAGACTGCTTGACATGTTGCTGACGGGGTCGCCAAGTGTTCGAGGTCAGTGTGCTGCCAAAGCCACCCCCGCCGGTTCCCCCAAGACTAGGTTTTACATTTAGTTTCCGCGTCTTGGGAAATGTGTTATACATTTTCCACCCGCAGAGGTGTTGAGGGTGTGGAGATTGTCGAACCACCACTAGCTCCTAAGTGGTATGCTCGTTCTGCCAATGCGAAGTGCGAATGTTCCCCGGAGCAGCTGAGCTACGTCAAGCTCATGTTGAAAGCCTGATGGCCTCGCAGATGTAAATCATTCCTAAGTGTGGGTGGTGGAACCCGGCAAATGAAGAGTTCCCTGCCGGGTCTTGTTGCGTCGGCAAGATGGTTCCAGAACCACCGATGTCTGCCCTGGCAAACGAGAATCCTGGGCACAGCGTCCCGAGAGTCGCGAGTTAAGGGAAGTGCAGTCTGGCACCCCTCACAACCCATGAGGGTAGAATCGCGTTTTGCGGGATCCTTTCCCCGAACATTTCAAGCGTAGTAAACAGTCGTTTTCCGTGATCAGATGTGGGGATTATGATTAGAGCTTGGGATCGCGGTCTGCGGTCTCAAGTCCACGAACGTCTCAGGTGCAAGGCTGAGAAGCTGTGTTTTTCGGCCAAGCGAGAGAATCGCCTCTCCTTTTGGAGAGCAGCTGAGCTACCTCCAGCTCATGCTACAGGCCTGATGGTCCCACAGACGTAAGTCATGCATAGTATTGACAGCTCAATAGCTGTTTCGGTCAATCTCTACGAAAGAGGCTGTTTCATCAAGCGCCAGCCGATATTTTCCCCCGACTCAAGACTAAGGCGACTAAGGTTTGCCTCCCAATTTCGGCGCTTATTCGGGGCAGATAGGCTGAAAGTGGGCTCCGCGAGGGTGAATTACAGAACTTGGCCCATCAACAGTTCCTTGCCGGGACACCCCGAGCCAAGCACTTCTCGCTGTGTCTGCTCGCTGCGCTGGATGCGCTGCGCGATCTCCGCCAGTTGCTCCTGGTGTGGACTATAAGTGCTACCTTTGCAGGGGTAAGGTTTGGTAAAGCAGCTCAACCATGCTCGGTACACCTTACTTTACTATCCCCATCACAAAGTGTTAAACGAGTCCTTGCTGTGTGATGAACACTACTACAATTGCAAGTTACGATGACACCGAGGCCTCTCGTGCTCTCTCAAACAGCCACAATCGAAAGCCGTGACGGTGGACACACGGCTGCTTCGGCAGGAGTGTGTCAGAACAGCTGATGCCTGCACTTCATGCCACACTCGTTGGCTTGCTTTCGGAGTTGAGCCAGGTCCGGGGCGCTTGAAATGTGGGCAAAGAGTGCCTCGGCTCGGCCCGAACTCCCTAGCCCGTCGCCAGTCAAAGGCTCTTGTTTGCTCCGGGCTGAAGTGTAAGGTGCTGCGTGCATGCTGGGTTGCGGCAGAACAGCAATCCCAGAGCGATTCAAGCCGGTCGACTGCTTCTGGGATTGCAGGTTGTGGTTCGGTCCGATGGTTGCTGCATCTTGTTTTTGTCGCATGCGGCGGTATCAGAAGTTGCCACGTCTACTCTAGGCTTGGGCAGGCAACTAGAGGTGCTCGGCAGCTGCTTGGACCGTGTCTGCTGGGCTGTTCCGGATATGCAGCGCCTGCTTGACATTGCCGCGCCTTGAGAGTCGCAGTTAGAGCCACTCGCTTGACACTCGCGGGTACAGAGCAATCTACATCCCTTCGTGCTGCAAGGCGATGCGCTATGTGGGTCTTTGTCTTTGCTTCCCCGCGGCCTCTGCGCGGGTGTTGGGCTGAAGGCCCGGCTCTGGATCTTGGCGCTCTTCAACGGCACTGCGTGCAGTGCTTCTTCCCAGCCTCTCATGTTCGGAGGCCTCGAGTCGTGATAGCATCTTGCCTTGGGGTTCTGCCGGCACAACCTCCATGCGTGAAGCCGCCCTGTCCAAGCCATCTTCCTTGATGTGTGTGAAATGAAGGCAGACTTTTCGTGTGGAAGGCACATGATGCGGAACCCCTCAATTCACGTCACCGCAACCCTTCTGGCAGGCCTAAGGTCCAAAAACGGATCGAGTGCCCACAGGACCGGCCACATCCTCCATGCTTCTCACCGCTGTGACTTGATAGTGCCGAGTCATTCCAAATGGCAAGGACTTGGGAAAATGGATTTCACAAGGAGACAGACTCCTCTAGCCTGAGCCAGAAGTGGTGACAGTAGGATGCCCAGACGGTGTGCATAGAATTTTGTAGAGTTGCCGCCACCGCTTGCTGGAAAATTGCCTGACAGCTGTGCCCGGCAACAGCCTCCTCAGCTTACAAAATGATCTCTTAGTGGTAATGAGGGTCTGCGAAGCAAGAGGGATCCAGACACAGCTGACTCTCGGCATTCCCCTGCAAACGTTCCAGCCGCGTACTTCGGTGTCCTTGAGGATCGGTGCCGTCAGTGCCAGCCACGTCCGCTTTGGGACGTGGCAGAGCAGAGGATGCAGCTGGTGTCCCTCCTTGCTGCGCCATTGCTTCAGGCTCTTCTCTGTCTCAGGGCTCATCTGCACTGCCCATTCCCTGCCTGTCGCGACATGCCCAAGAGGACACCGAACTAGTAGGCACAATCCGAAGGCCCGAGGCCTCTGAGGCGCCATGAAATGTAACACATGCCATCCAGCA